AATCTGTGCTTACCAACACCAGAGGCATTAGCTGTTCTGAACTGCCAAGGTCAGAAATCCCTCATGACTTCACTTACTAAAATTTAAGACCTAAAGCTACTTGCTCTGGCCATGCCAGATATTCAGATTCTACTCCATGTATATCTTAAGATGTCAACCACAGCACAAGACCTTGGGTTTTGAGGAGCTTTCAATAAATTATACCTTTTTTCCTCCACTCAAAGTTGGAACTTGTTGAGAGAAAAAGAGCCTTAGAAGTAGGATAGAGATGAAAATGTCAGGTTATCACTCATAAAACTGTTGGAGAACATGGCTTAGGAGTGAGGTCTAAAGAGGCTTTCTATAGTTCTGTCCAAATCCCATAACCTAACCTATCCCTCCTGAGGGAAAAATGGGCCTGCAAAGTAAATTCCCTTACCCAGGACAAGAGAGAGAAGGAAAGGCAGTGACTGGTGCTTATCCCCTTTTAATAGATTAGTTTCACCCAGTAAGGAAACATGGGTCAAGGGACGTCACTTCCTCCACTGTGGAGGAAGAATGAATTCAGAGTGGGATAAGAAGCCCAGAGCATTATGCTTATGTGGTTTCCTCCATAAGGAAACAAGAAACCTGTGCAGTAAGTTTGCCCTTCCCTAAGTCAACTACCATGTGACTGGCCTGTTATTTTTACAATACTGGTTCTGCTCTTTCTAACTACATCATCAAAATGCACATTTGCACTTCGGTTGCAGTTTGTCCCCGGCCCTGGTTGGTCGTGCGGGTGGCAGCCACTCGATGTGTCCCTTCACGTCGATGTTTCTCTCTCTCTCTCCCTCCCACTCTATCTGTACAAAAAATGGAAAAATACCCTCGGGTGAGGATAAAAAAAAAAAAAATGCACATTTGCTCTTTTGATACATATGTTCTCTCTGTCTAGGTCCTCTTGTATGACCCTCTCTTTGACTGGACCATGAATCCTTTGAAAGCTTTGTATTTGCAGCAGAGGCTGGAAGATGAAACTGAGTTCCACTCCACTCCGAATGCAGATGACCAAGAATGCAAACGAAGTCTCAGGTGAGCAGTATTTTAGGAATTGTCAATTGTGCAGTGTCCTATTCCCAAGGCCATTTGAACTGTTTCACCTCATTATCACCTTTGCATTTTTGTCATTAGTGAAATTGACCAGAGTTTCAACAAAGTAGCTGAACGTGTCTTGATGAGACTACAAGAAAAACTGAAAGGAGTGGAGGAAAGAACTGTGCTCAGTGTGGGAGGACAGGTGAATCTGCTCATACAACAGGCCATGGACCCTAAAAACCTCAGCCGACTTTTTCCAGGATGGAAAGCCTGGGTGTGATACTCAGCATATGAATTACCCTTGAGTTCAGCCTTCAGAAATTATATGTTGGTGTTTATTTTTAACCCACCCACCTATTTGGAATATATGGTATTAATATTAACTAAGATGACCACTTACTGCATTTTTTAAAAAATGTTTGTTTCAGTCCCCTAAAGATGCTTTGATTGTCTCAAGGAATATCTCTTCCTGCACACTTTAGAAATAGTTGTCATTCATATTCTACTTGTAGGCTAAACATTTACCATTTCTTCTCAAGTACATACTTGCATCATTTTCAGTAGAATCACTGGCTTATGCTTCAGCGCAGGTGGAGGCAGCCGGAGTGCAGGACCATCACTGGTGTCTCCTGCAGTAGGACTCAGAGCAGATGCATGGGTGGTTTTGAGGTGGCTTTTAATTTAAAATTTTCCCAGCCCTGGCCAGATTGGCTCAGCGGTTGGAACATCGGCCTGTGGACCAGAGAGTCCCGGTTCGGTTCCCACTAAGGGCACGTACCAAAAAAAAAAAATTAAAATTTTCCCAGATATTATATATGAATGAAAATTATTTGATATTAATATATAAAAGGAAGAAAAAAACTTCAAAGTTGTAACCATCTGTATATCATGGCAAAACTACCTTAAAAATAAGAAGCAATGTTGAAAACGAATTAGCACTTAAGAAAACTGTTTGGGCCCTGGCCTGTTTGGCTCAGTGGTTAGAGCGTCGACCTGCGGTCCTGAGAGACCCGGGTTCGGTTCCGCTAAGGGCACGTACCTCGGTTGCAGTTTGTCCCCGGCCCTGGTCGGTCGTGCGGGTGGCAGGCACTCGATGTGTTCCTTTCACATCGATGTTTCTCTCTCTCTCTCTGTTCCTCTCTCTCCCTCCCACTCTACCTGAACAAAAAAATGGGAAAATGTCCTCGGGTGAGGATAAAAAAGAAATATGTTTGGTGCCTGGCCGGTGTGGCTCAGTGGTTGAGCATTGCCCCATGCACCAAGAGGTTGCTAGTTTGATTCCTGGTCGGGACACATACCCAGGTTGTGGGCCTGATCCCCAGTGGGGGGCATGGAAGAGGCAGCCAATCCATGTTCTCTCTCATCGATGTTTCTATGTCCCTTTCCTTCTCCCTTCCTCTCTCTCAAATCAGTAGAGAAAAAAAGAAAGAAATGTGTTTGGATATTTAGTAGCAAGATCCCCAATGTTAACTGAATAAAAATGTTGTTATGGAGAACAAATTTCAGAGACACATCTAGTATGATTACTATTTTTTTTAAATGTATATTGGACCTTCTCATTCTATTCTCTTTACCTTTTAAGCCCATCTGTGTTTTCTATTACTTTATCTTTCTGTCTCTACTTCATTGTCAGATGTTTGTATAATCTTTTAAATTTGTTCACTGGGTTTCTTCTTTCAAAACTTGCTTTAATTTCTAGCTGTGTATTGTTCTTGACGTGCTTATTGTTTCATGATTTTTTTTTTTTTTACTTTTCAGTTTCTTTGATGTCACTAATCACTTTAAACATTCCTGTTTTAGAGTCTCTAATAGCTCAATAAAAAAATCAAGTTCCTTTTGTTTTTATGTATTGATTCTTATATTTGTAGACTGTTTACCCAAGTATTTTGTTAAGTTTGAAAAGTGAGCTTATTTTCAGCAGGGCTTTCTCTGTGGAAAACTTGTGTGATCTGCGTCAAGAATAATTCCTTCCAGATAAGTTTTGTGTCTCCTCATGTCATGTTTCCAGAGCTATTACTAACAAAGGACCACTATTATGTTAATTTCTTGGATTCTGAGTTTCCAGACCTCAAGAGTGTAGTGTAAGTTATTAAGAAGACTCCCAGGCCAAGACAGACACTTTGTCTCATTATCTTCCTATGCTAGTGGGCAGAATGTTTTCTTGACTTCCATCACTGAGGGTGTCATCCTCAATGTGTTCCATCCACCTTTATGGTGGGCTAGAGGGGAGATGTGTGTAATTCCTACCTGCTGCCTTTTACAAGTTCAAGATTTCGTTAAAACAAACCCATAGGTTGGTGGGATGGCAGATTGTGCCAGGACAGCTAGAATGGCAGCTCACAATTTACCTCCAGAGTTTTCAGTTCCCTTCATTTTTGGCCCTCAGGATTTCCCCGTGCTTCCTTCTAAGTGCTGCTGTGCATTTAATAGATTGTTTCTTACATCTGGTCCAGCATTTCTGTGTTTAGATGGAGAGGAAGAGTTCAGGTATCAAAGTTTGCTATTTAGGTAGAAATGGAACACTTTTCTGTTCCCATACTGCCATCAGACAGACAAGTAAAACCACTGACTTGTCTGTTGGGAAATGTAATTCCTCCTCCATCCTTAGGAAAATGTTCATCTTTGCTGTAGAGATTATTCTGCTGCAGAGATTAAGAAATAAGTGGTTATCTTTCCTCTTATTATTTAGGCAACCAGTGTATGTAGACAGTTTTTTCTTTTGAAGGGTTAACGTTGCTGTCTACTTTCAGTGGCAAGCACTCACTCAGGTCTGACCTCTCCACCATTCCTCTCCCTCCAAAAATGGGCTCTAGAGTTTTGTGGAGTTTTGTGGACTATAAATTTCTTAGTTTGGTTTCTGGAGAACTATTCATAAAATTGTTTTGCGTGTGTTTTTTTTAAATCTTTACTCTAGTATATTTCTCCATTTATTTTCAGATAGAGTGGGAGGGAGGGGAAGAGAGAGAGAGAGAGAGAAACACCGATGTGAGAGAGACACATCGATTGGTTGCCTCCCACAAGACCCTGACCCAGGGCCGGAGACCAAACAGCAACCGAAGTACATGCCCTTGACTGGAATCAAACCCACAACTCTTTGATCTACGGGCTAACACTCGGACCACTGAGCTAAACCAGCCAGGGCAATTGTCTTGCCATTTCAAATTACAAACTTAACCTTGGTGTATGTTTTTCTTATAGACTGCCTTTGTTAGTAATAAAAGTACCAATATATACCAAATATTGGTAAATCAAGGAAATGCAATAAACTTAGAATGTCTTTATTTAAGAAAGCCTTGAAATTTTCATGGATGAATAAGAAATGATCAATTAGATGATAATATAGGTAAATGAATATATAACTAATTCTTATTGATGTATCCAAAGAGCTTTGAATAACATCATGAACCCTGTCCTATTCAAATATTCTTTATTTTTTTATTGCAAGGAAGTGAATAACCAGAGCTGAGAAGGCAGAAAAGAAAGTGGTGAGATTGAAAACCTAACAGAGAGAGGAAAGGAGAGGGAGAGAGAGATAGAAACATGAATGAGAGAGAACATCGATTGGCCACCTCCTGCATGCCCCCCACTGGGGACTGGGCCCACAACCTGGGCATGTGCCCCAACTGGGAATTAAACTGGCGATCTCTTGGTGCACAGGTCAACGCTCAACCACTGAGCCACGCTGGCCGGGCCAAATATTCTTATTAATGGCTTTGAAAAGTTTACCAATTTTGCAGATAACAAATCTGGGAGAGTAGCTAATTTACAGGTAATAAAATTAGAATTCTAAAAGATTTAGACAAGCTGGAACACCCTGGAAATGAATAGGATAGAAATTTATCATGGACAAGTGAGTAGTAGTTAGGTTTCTAAAATATTAGTTATAGAGTATTTGTTGTACGCTGAGTACTTGACATACATTATATGCAGCATCTCTTGCAAGATTAGTGATATTATCCCAGTTTACACCTGGAGAAAGGGAAAGTGGAGAAATAAGGTAAATATATTAAGGCCACAATATAGTAAATCAAACATACACATTTTTGCACAATTCCTAACCTGAAGCTTTCAAGTGTAAAGAATCTAGGCTTCACCAGTTAGCTGCTCACAGTGGAAACCAAGTAGAGAAACTACTAGAAAAGCTAGTAAATTATAGACCAAACAGTTGTGTTCAGATTAAGGGATAGCATAGCCCTGCCACCATTTTCAGTGCTAGTCATACCACCCCAAGTATCTCCCTAATCAGTGGGTATGTAAATCCATAGTCATTATAGTACATACTTAAAATATATATACTTAGAATGCTAAAAATTTAAATATGGTCTAAAGCAAAAGGGAAAAACTTTGGACTTATTAAAGATTTAAATAAGCTAGTCTTTAAAAAATGTAGAAAGCTAGTTTACTGGAAATACAGAGATATGTGCCATTTCAAGTATTTTAGTTGCACCTTAATGAAATTATATTTTTTATAGATTTTCTTTAGTACTACTGAATGTATTTCTTTACTGTTACCTGTTTTTGAATAAATAATTCTAAAACAAAATGTATGCTAAGACTCATTTGTGTTATTCATGTCTTTGAGTGTTCTGTGTGCCAGGCATGGTGTGGTTCCTAGGGAGGTGGCAGTGAGCAAGGCAGGCACAGTCGGTGCGCACAGACCTCAGTCTGGATCAGACGGGTGACAAATGCAGTGTGAACTGGGAGGCGTGCTGCACAGAACCAGCCTGGTGTGCTGCATCTCAGTCTAAACAGTCTGGTAGTGTTTCTTAATCACCCCATGACAAAAAGGCAAATGAATGTTCTTTAGGCCTAGAGAGTGATCTAGTTGACATTTTTAACATTTAGAGGATATATACTAGCATGTGACAAAGATCCTGGCATCTTAAATGTGAAGATTGCATACCACATGTTTATTTTTATTTTTTCTTTCATTGAATTTATCGGGGTGACATTGGTTAATAAAACGTTTTTTTAGTGTATAACTGTAACATATTATCTGCATGTTGCATTGTGCACTCATCACTCAAAGTCAAGACTCTCTACCATCATTTATTCCCCCTTTGCCCACTTCCACCCCCCCCCACCCCACCCCCCACATTCATCATACTATTTGTTTCTGTTTGGTTTGGTTTGGTTTTTTTGCTTAATCCCTTTACCTTTTTCACCCAGCCTCCGGAACTCCTTCCCATCTGACAGCTGTCAGTCTGTTCTTTGTGTCTGAGTCTGTTTCTCTTTTGCTTGTTAAGTTTAGTCTGTTCATTAGATTCCACATATAAGTGAAATCATATGGTATTTATCTTTCTCTGACTGGCTTATTTCTCCTAGCATAATACTCCCTAGGTTTATCCATGCTGTTGCAAAAGGTAAGATTTCCTTCTTTTTTTTTTTATCTTCACTCGAGGATATTTTCTTCAGATAGAGTGGGAGGGGGTGGGGGAAGGAGTGAGAAATATCAATGTGAAAGGGACACATCGAGTGGCTGCCACTCGCACGACCAACCAGGGCCGGGGACAAACTGCAACCGAGGTACATGCCCTTAGTGGGAACCGAACCCGGGTCTCTCTGGACCATAGGCCGACGCTCTAACCGCTGAGCCAAACCTGCCAGGGCAGATTTCCTTTTTTTTTTTATGGCTGAGTAGTATTCCATTATGTAAATGTACCACAACTTTTTTATCTACTAATGGGGCTGCTTCCAAATCTTGGCTATGTAAATTCTGCAGAACACAGGGGTGCATGTATCTTTTCAAATTAGCATTTTGGGTTTCTTTAGATACATTTCCAGAAGTGGAATTGCTGGGTTATAAGGCAGTTCCATTTTTAATTTTTTGAGGAAATCCCATGCTGTTTTTCATACTGGCTGCACCAGTCTGCATTCCCACCAACAGTGCCCAAGGGTTCCCTTTTGTCTACATCCTCGCCAACACTTGTTGTTTGTTGATTTATTGATATAGCCATTCTGACAGGTATGAGGTGTTATTTCATTGTGGTTTTAATTTGCAACTAGTTCTCTGATGATTAGTAATATTCAGCATATTTTTTTCATATATCTGTTGGCCATCTATATGTCCTCTTTGAAGAGGTGTCTATTCAGGTCCTTTGCCCATTTTTTTTATTTGGATTGTTTGTTTTCTTGGTGTTGAGTTATATAAGTTCTTTATAAATTTTGGAAATTACCCCTTATCAGATGTATCATTGGCAAATGTATTCTCCCATTCAGTGGGTTGCCTTTTTATTTTAATGGTTTTCTTTACTGTGCAGGAGCTTTTTAGTTTGATGTAATTTCATTTGTTTATTTTTTTCTTTTGTTTCCCTTGCCCAAAGAGATATATCAGAAAAACATTGCTACAAGAAATGTCTGAGACTGCCTATGTCTTCTAGGATTTTTTAAAAATATGTTTTTATTGATTTTTTTTTTTTTGAGGGAAAGTTAGAAACATTGATATGAGAGTGAAACATCTATCGGTTGCCTCTTACATGCCCTCTACTAGGGATCAAGCCCCCAACCCAAGCATGAGCCTCAACTGAAAATCAAACTGAGACTTCTCAGTCTATAGGATGACACTCAATCCACTGAGCTAGGATTTTTATGATGTTGTGACTTACATTTAAGTTTGGTTTTTTTTATCCTCACCTGAAGATATTTTTCCATTGATTTTTAGATAGAGTGGGAGGGAGAGAGAAAGAGAAGCATTGATGAGATAGAGAGAGAGAGAGAGAGAGAGAGAGAGAGACATCATTTGTTTGCCTCCCACATGACCCTGACTGGGGTGACTGGGGCCAGGGATTGAACCTGCAACCCAAGTATGTGCTCATGACTAGAATCAAACCTGTGACACTTTGGTCTACAGGCCAATGCTCTAACTGTGAGCCAAACCAGCCAAGGCTACATTTAAGTCTTAAACCATTTTCAGTTTATTCTTGTGTATGGTGTAAGGAGGTGGTCTAGTTTCTTTTTTTTCTTTCTTTCTTTTTTTGCATGTATCTGTCCGATTTTCCCAATACCATTTATTGAATAGACTGTTTATACCCCATTGTATGTTCTTGCTTTCTTTGTCAAATATTAATTGACCATAAAGGCATGGGTTTATCTCTGGGCTCTCTGTTCTATTCCATTGATCTAATCTATATGTCTGTTTTCATGCCAGTACCATGCTGTTTTGATTACTATGGCCTTGTAGTATAGTTTGAAATCAGGTAGTGAGATTCCTACAACTTTATTCTTTCTCATGATTACTGTGACTATTCAGGGGTTCCATGGTTCCATATGAATTTTTGGAATATTTGTTCTAGTTCTATGAAATATGCCATTGGTATCTTGATAGGAATTGCTTTGGGTAGATGGGCATTTTAATTCTATTCATTCTTGTTACCTATGAACATGGTATATGCTTCCACTTATTTGTATCTTTTTAATTTCTTCAGTGTCTTTTAATTTTCTGAGTACTATACAGGTCTTTTACATCCTTGGTTAAATTTATCCCTAGTTTTTTTTTAATGCAATTGTAAATTGGATTGTTTTCTTAGTTTCCCTTTTTGGTAGTTCATTATTGGTAAATAAAAATGCCACTGATAAACAAAATAGATCCAGAGACATGGAAGTAGGGAACAGACTGCCAAACCTCAGAGGGAAGGGGCCTGGGGAGCAAGAAGAGATAAACCAAAGAACTTACATGCATGTATGCATAACCAATGGACACAAACAACCGTGTGGTGAGAGGGGGTTGGCAGGAGCGGGGAGGAGGGTGTCAATAGGGGGGAAAGGAGGGACATCTGTAAAAAAAAAAAAATTAAAAATTTAGAAAATGCCACTTTTTTTTTTTTAAGTTTTCTTTATTGATTTTGAGAGAGGGGGGAAAGGGAGAGGAAGAGAGAGAAACATCGACGAGAGAACAATTGGCTGCCTCCTGCATGTCCCTGACCAGGAATTAAACGGGCATCCTCTTGATGCACAGGATGATGCCCAACCAACTGAGCCACACTGGCCAGGGCTATTTTAAAATCTTTTAACAAATAAGAAATTAAACATTTAACTAATTAGAAGTAGGCAAAGATTTGAACAGACTGCCATAAAAAATATCCAAAGACAAATAAGCACATTAATGATCCTAAACTTCATAAGCTATTTGGAAAATGTAAACTAAAGTCATGATGAACAACCATCAAAATGGAAAGGTAACTCACTATATGGGAGAGTATAATTGCCAGTGATACATCAGATAAGGGGTTAATTTCCAAAATATATAGAGTACTCACACAACCCAACAAAAGGAAGACAAAGAACCCAATTTAAAAATGGGCAGAGGACCTAAAGAGATACCTCTCCAAACAGGACATACAAATGGCCAAAGACATATGAAAAAATGCTCAACGTCACTAATCGTCAGAGAGATGCAAATTAAAACAATGAGATATCACCTCACACCTGCCAGAATGGCCACCATCAACAAATCATCAAACAACAAGTGTTGGCGAGGGTGTGGAGAAAAGACTCTAGTACACTGCTGGTGGGAATGCAGACTGGTGCAGCCACTATGGAAAACAATATGGTGTTACCTCAAAAAATTAAAAATTGAACTGCCGTTTGACCCAGTGATCCCACTTCTAAGAATATACCCTAAGAAGCCTGAAACACCAATCAGAAAGAATATATGTATCCCCATGTTTGTAGCAGCACTATTTACAATTGAACCACTGATACAAACAACAAGGAGTGACTTTCAGAAGCGTTATGCTAAATAGAAAAAGCTGGACTCAAAAAGACTACATATAATATTTCATTTATAAGGCATTCTAGAAACGGCAGACCCTTAGTGACTGAAAGGAGATCAGTGGTTTCTGGGGCTTAGGGTGGAGAGGGTTGACTGCAAAGATGCAGTTTGGGGGAGACGGAAATGCTTTATGTCTTAATTGTGGTGAAAATTATATTTGTCAAAACTCAACACTCCATATGGGTGAATTTGTATGTAAATTATCTCAATAAGTGTTTTTTCTTTTTTTCTACATATTTTTTTAATTGACTTTTTAGAGAGAGGGGAAGGGAAAGAGAGAAACATCAGCTGCATGTTCCCCAAACAAGACCGCATTCAGGGCTTGTGCCCTGATTGGGAATCAAACCAGGACCTCTCAGTCCATGGGACGACACACAATCCACTGAGCCACACTGGCCAGGCTATTTTTCTTTTCTTAAATATACATACATTAGGTCGCTGCTGATTTTTTTTTTTTTTTTTTTTAATATAGTTGGGGGTATAAGCCTCTGGTCTGTTAGTGTTATAGACAGATTTTTAAAGCTACAGTATGTATGTGGTGACTGGTGGCAATAGAAGTGCTTACACCGGAGGGTGTGAGGGACTGTTCCTTGACTCAGCAGTCATGTCCGGTTCTCTTCTTCCGTGTAGAAGCTGAAAGCCAGATTTCCGCTTTCCTAGCTTCTTTAGCTTAAGTGTCCCCCAGTGACCCAGTTTGTTCAAGGATGTCTAGGGTGACAAGGGCTGGGGCTTCTAGTAAGCCTGTTGCTTTCCTAATAAAAAGAGAATTTGCTATACTTCCCCTTCCACCTTTTCCTTTTTTGATGGAAAGAGAATACTGCCTGACATAAATGCTCAAATAAAAGACGCTTCAAAAAATAAAAACAAGCTGAAGATTTTTTTGCACCTAAGTATAATATCTTTATTTAAGTATGACTGTTAGAATATTACAGTTTTCAGAATACCAGGCATAATTTCCACGTTTTCTATGACCACTGTATTCAGCCCGATGTTTTTTCTGTTTAAACTTCCTTAATTGGGTAGATTCTGTGCTAAGAATGTATGTCGTTCTAGTCAGAATATACTATCTCTTGACTATAGCTGATGAAATCAGGACTTGAAGGGCTGTAAGCTCAAAAAAGAAGAGTACTTTACATTTATATTTTATACGTGGAATTAGGTGTCAGTCTAGTAAAATTTGGTCCTTTGTAAATATTTTCATATGAAGTATTTTCTGCTGTTCCCATGTCCTCTGATATAGCTGCATAATCATATATTTTCTGTTCTTGTCCAAACCTGAAACCTAGAGAGGATGACAGATGTTTAGAAAGATGCCGGATGTGATAAGACACACTCGTTCAGTGTGCGGCTGAGGCCTGTTCCATGTTCCTTTTCACCACTCAGAGTAGCCATCTATCTTTATGTCCTATTTGACTGAAGCCATAAACATCCCAAAGTTCTGGGTTCCTCCTACTTTTCACTGCTATATTTTGTTGTCCATCTCTACAAAAGGCTCTGCAGTACTTGGGTTTGAGGTTTGATCTATTACTCATTAGCTGTGTAATTTGGGGCACATTACTTAACCTCAGTCAGTCTCAGTGTCCTCATCTAGAAAATGGGGATAACAGCACATACCTGATCGCTTTTCTGTGAGAACTAAGTGTAATGGTTCCTGTAAACGACTTAGTTTGGTGTTTAGCTAGTGCTCCATAGTTAACTATTTGCTAACAGTTTTTTATTTCCAAATGAATAGAATCCTTTTCTCTCTCTAGAGGTAGTTTCCAAATCTCTGGATTAGATTTCCTTGTGCTTCTTGAAGAAGTGGCACCCACTCTCTCCTCTTCTCCAGCACCAACACCTTCCACTGACTTCAACTATATTGCAAACCTCTACTACTTAAAATAATTTCCACTTGCTCTTGTGCTCCTTCCTATCATTATGCTGTATCTTTCCACCTTTTGCAGTCAGTACAGGCAGATCTCATGGTGTGTCTGTCACTTTATTGCACTTCACAGATGTTCCTTTTTTTACAAAGGGAAGGCAAAACCTTCCACCAGCAAAAAGATCATAACTCGCTTTATTTATTGCAATACTTGCTTTATTGAGGTGGTCTGGAACTGAACCTGCCATATCTCCAAGGTATGCCTGTAATCTCTTTTAACTCAGTATTTTATATTCTGTACTTCCACTTTTGTACTTGTCATTTCTTTATATTATTTCATCTGTCATTGAAAACTTGTGCTACACATTGGGAATTCAATAGTGAACAGGACAACTCCCTGCCCTTAAGTGAAGATGGTTACCTAAAGCTGTTCTGTAGGAGGCCATCAACTCCATTAAACCCCAAGTGGAAACCACATAATGTTCAAGGAACAGGCTAGAGGCCAGTGATGGTGGGGTTGTGAGTGAGGCGGACAGTGTAACGTGGTAAGGGTAGAAAGCTAAGCCAAGACTCGATTCCAAGCGCAGTGGGAAACAGAGGTAGCAGGGGTGGTTATCATTAAGAGCATGGGTTCTGGAGCTAGCCTGCCTCAATTCAAATCTTGGCCCTCACAGGATATTACTGTGAGACCTGAGCAAGTAACCCATGTCTTTGCTTGCTCAGCTGTAAAATGCAGACAGTGGAACCTGACTCACTGAGTTGGTCTGAAGATCAGATGAGCTAACATTAGAAAACACTTTAAGATAGCACTTCCACATGGTAATTACTGAAGAAGAGTCTAGGTGTTCTAATTGCGTTGATTTAAATTGTAAAAGATCACTACCTGCTGTGTGGGGAAGGGAGTGGAGGAGTATGAGTTTGGAGGCTGTTACAGAAGCCTGTAGATGGATGATGGCAACCTGGACTGTAGCACTGAGCTGGACAAAAGTAGAAAGGTTAAGGCTAATGGTAGCTAACATTTATAGAGTATGGATTATCTATCAGGCACTAGTCTAAGCTCTTTACACTTTCTACATCTTAGTACTTCACAACAACCTACGAGCATGGTACTGTTGTTCTCATTTTACAGGGAAGAAAACTGAGCTAGTAACTTGCCCGGGATCACACGGCTAGTAAGCAGTAGAGCCAAAAATCAACACTAGGCAGTCTGAATCAACTTCCCACAATAGCAACCTCCCACAGATAACAGCAGGACACAACTCATGCATGCAGATTATACAGTAACCATAATTAGACATGGGCTATGTTAGAATTGTTGGTGTTTCTAGGGTATGATGAGATGCTTCTTCAACATGCTACCACTTTCAGCTTCTCAGTATTGTGGACTGCTGGAGGGACAACAGTGGCATAGCACCTAAACATCATTTCTTAACATTTGGAGACATTTATTCAGCCAAGTGAAGTTTGCTCATTAAAAATTATTATTGAAATAATATCTCACATGAGATATGCAACTTTTTTTTTTAAGTTTCATTAAAAAGTATCCAACCTTATATAAAATATTCCCAAATAACAGTCTTCCCTATTAGGTAAGAATGACTTGGCAAACCTATCCATGTCTATGTACTGTGCAGGGTGCTGAGATGTTACGTGCTAAGACGTGTACATGTGTGGAATGGATTATTTTTGTTCACAAGAATTTCCCATAAAGTAGTGCTAAAAATTACCTACTTTTGAAGTTAGCTGAAGAGTTGCTTGTAGCAATTTCCTTCCAGTTGGCAACATACCTAAGCACATTATATAGACATTCATTAAATTGGTTTATTAGTAACTAATGAATCGATTCATTAGTACATGCTTAGGCCACTTCTACAATTCCGCTTTCTTTATGAAATCTTAATGACAACAAATTCATTAGTCCAAATCTTTAATTCTCATGACTTTCCCACCTCCATGTAGCTCTCATGCACCTAAGACACCCCTAGGACTGGGAGTTGGAGGAAGTATAAAAATGGTGCCCACCATCTACCATCTTAGTGCCCCCTTTGGTCTCCCTCAGCACACCTCTCCCCATCCTGTTCCAGTCCTTTGAGATCATGTCCTCAGTTGAATGCCTACTAAGATGTTAGTTAACTTCTAAATTAAAAGTATGGGCAAGCCCTGGCTGGTTTGGTGTAGTGATTAGAACGTCCGCCTATGGACCAAAGTGTTACAGGTTTGATTCCCCAGCAAGGGCACGTACCTGGGTTGCAGGTTTGATCCCAGGCCCTGTGCAGGAGGCAACCAATCGATGTGTCTCTCTCACATGGATGTCTGTCTCTCCCCCCCCCCCCCACTCCCCGTTCCACTTTATCTAAAAATCAATGGAAAAACATACTCAGGTGAAAATTAACAAAAAATAAAATAAGAATATGGACAGAAAACTCTCTGGGAGGGGAACAACAAAGGAACTTTGTCCTTGGTTCTGGACTGTCAGACCTACATGTTAACAGGAGTTCAATGCATGTGTTTATGCTCTCGGAGCAGCAGTGCTGTCTGCAGTGCGCAGCAAACATGAGAGAGCGTAGCGCCCATGCAGCTGCTACGTCAGCTCCCTAAACAGACTGAAGCAGGGAAACCAGAGTAGCCTGAGGTGAGATAGAATAGGGAATGACAAGGTCTGACAAGCTACGGAGATGAGGGAATGCTCCAAGAGGCAGGCTTCCTGTGACTATTCCATTTCATTCTAGGCTCTGTGTCCTCTTTCCCAAACCTTTCTTTCAACTGCACCCGAGAAATCAGATGAGGAATTGGTCACAGCAGGTGCTGAAGGGAGCTGGCAAAAAGTGTGAGGGTAATTAGAATTGTCACATAAAAAATGATTTTCCAGGTATTCATTTATTACACTGAACTACTCTTGTTAACTGTGTTTCTGAAGTTTTTTGTTTTAGGAAGGTATATAGTATCCAACAACATTTAATTATTTAAAGTGCTGTGTCTAAAGTCAGCTCCTTTTTCTTACTCCTATCTTTTATTGCTCCAAGATCTTTATTCTATGGCCTTAAGTAGTATACTGCTGGGTCACTGTTACATGAACAGATGCAGGGTAACAGCAGGCATTGTGAACCCCTTCCCAACATCACTTGGGAGACAATTCACTCTGGATTGACCTTAAATTTAGGCAGACTTTAAGTGGTTATTCAGGGTCACTACAAAGAGCTGTATGTCTATCACCCTGCTTCCTTAGATTTATATACTCATTTTCATTCCACCTTCAAGGACACCTGACTGTCTGAGGTACAAACATATTCCATATTTAATTAAGGCTGATCACTGTCTCTGCTTTACCTGATATTAGGGCAATTATTTTATTTTATTAAATTGATTTTAGAGAGAGGAAGCAGGAGAGGAAGAAACATTGATCAGTTGCTTCCTGCACACGCCCTGACAGGATCAAACGCACAACCTTTAGGTGAAGGAGACGATGCTCCAACGAACTGAGCCACACCATCCAGGGATAGAACAATTATTTCAAAAGAACTTCTCATAAGGAACATACCAACAGTAACTGATAAAAAAAAATTCTAAGTTTTACAAATGGAAGCAACAGCCCAGCCGGTGTGGCTCAGTGGTTGAGCATCGACCCATACACCAAGAGGTCGCCAGTTTGAGTCCCCATCAGGGCACATGCCCAGGTTTTGGGCCCAATCCCCAGTAGGGGCATGCGGGAAGTGGCCAATCTGTGTTCTCTCTCATTGATGTTTCTATCTATCTCTCTCTCTCCCTCTTCCTTCCTCTTTCTCTAAAGATCAATAAAAAAAAAAAATTTAAAACAAATAGAAGCAACAGTTTGATGATAGCATGACTATACTGCTCATATCATAGAGGTAATTTGTCTTTCTCACTGAGAAGTTTCTGTAATTTTTTAAAATAATAATTACAGAATAATGTATATGAGGAATCTACAATAAATTCCTCAGGAGTACAAATTTAACATTTTAATGGTCTGGGAAAATCCCTAACCAGAAAGGCCACATAACTCCATGTCCTAGAAATCAAAGGAACAGCTTCAGATATAGATACTACCCCTCACAAACAGGCAAAGATCTCTCACCAACATGGTTAATAGAATATCTGGAAACTATAGAATATCTGCTGATCACTTAACAGGTTATTTCAAAATTCAGTTTGAAAATTAAGATTCTCGAGGAGGAACATCTGGTAGATAGAGAATATGCCCCTGAAAATCCAACAGGATCGATGACAGTAGCAGTCATAGTAGCCAATATGCAGCATTGTGGGTAACTCAGTGATGGTGATGCACAGGCTGTCTTACATTCTGAGTGCCTGCAGCAACATATCTCTACATATTGCAATATTTGCCACAGTACTCAGTGTCCTTGAGTGCGAGAGAGAAGTTGGCTCTATCCATTCTTCAGAATTGCAATAACACTGTGTGCAGTTGATGCTGTTTCAATGTGCACCTGAAGATGCACATGGCTCCCTCCCAGGAGAGTAGAATCCTCATGATGAGGGGTAGCACAAGTCGCTGGGGAACCTGGTTTGTATCAATATTGAGTGCTCAGCCCATTTATGTCATTCTAATGGTCTGACTATTGAAAACTGTTCACAGATTTTGAAGAATACTCTCCAAGGAATTAGTGGCTAGCAATTCTCCTGAAGAAAAATGTGAGACTCTGAAATTCTTGTCAAACAAGGTGGCATTAAGCCAGTTACAAACATCTAAATGACTGCAAACATCTAACAGGAAAGTAGACTGTGGAGAACATAAATGCACTGGGAAGAAGGTGCTGGCTTACACTTCATGTCCGTTGTCAGCTAGGGGAAGACCTCTGCAAAATTTGGTCTTGCCTGAGATAATCAGTAATTTAGGATTAGTAATGTACTGAAATATTCCCAAATAATAATGCTGGATTCTATATGAAATATTTGTTGTCCAGAGCTCAATAGAAAAACATGTTTTTAAAGAGTTCAAAGTTGGGCCCTGGCCGGTTTGGCTCAGCGGTTGGAGCATCGGCCTGCGGTACAGAGAGACCCGGGTTCGGTTCCCGCTAAGGGCACGTACCTCGGTTGCAGTTTGTCCCCGGCCCTGGTTGGTCGTGCAGGTGGCAGCCACTCGATGTGTCCCTTCACATCGATGTTTCTCTCTCTCTCTCTCTCCCTCCCGCTCTATCTGAACAAAAAATGGAAAAATGTCCTCGGGTGAGGATACAAAAAAAAAAAAAGAGTTCAAAGTTGGTTCCAAATTAGGATACTGTTTAAGTGAGAGAATAAACTGAGTTGTACATAATTTGGAAACATGAGGTATCTGCATTTTTAAAAAATGGCAAGCTAGTTGTATTCATGCAAACCCACATAGAGTGTATGATGGAAAAAACTATGTCAAGTCTTAACTGGTTTATTGTTTTTATCCTTTCTTCCACAGAGACCATTAGGAATGTCATCACCTGCCAGAGAAGGGTGTGGTGGATGACACTGGACTTTGAACTTAACTGTATTACAGATTTCCTTTTGTATTCCAATAGTGATGGAATATAGGCTCTTGGGTGTGGATTTTTGGGTAATCTTTCACTAAAGTTTGTTGGCCTTTTGCTTGGTTAGTCAAATGTGTACAGGAAAAGCAAATAGGATTTCTAAAGCTCACTGAGAAAATTCTCTATCCTGCCCTCAGAAGCTCATTGAAAATGAACCTCACCTTACTTCTCTCCCTTTCTTCCTTCCATTCTTTTACCCAGCGATTTTTACTTAGGAAAAAAAGTAGAAGTACAACATTACATAAAGTATATGATGTCTAACCACTATGCTGTACACCTGAAATGATTACAAAATAATATTGAATGTAAATAAAATATACTTCCGATTTTTTAAAAAGTAAAAAAAAAAAAAGTACAGCAATAGAGTGCCTTTCTTTGGATGTCATTCCTTGCATAATTATTACCATCTGTATTTACTCAGTGTCCCCAAAATCACAGGTGTGCTGTCTATAGGGAATCCCAATATTATGGTCTGGAGAAGATATTGGTGTTACTGAATCGTAACAATCTCTTTTTACTATTTACTTATTACAAAAAATTTTTTTAAATCCTCACCCAAGGATATTTTTCCATTTATCTTCAGATAAAGTGGGAGGGAAAGAGAGAAAAACATCCACGTGAGAGGGACATATCGACTGGTTGCCTCCCACATGACCCTGACCAGGGCCAGGGACAAACTGCAACCAGGGTTCGTGCCCTTGGCTGGAATTGAACCCGGGACGTTTTGGTCCACAGGTAGACACTCTAACTGCTGAGCCAAACTGGCCAGGGAGGGCCAGAATATTTGAAAGCATCTATTTACTATGCATAATTAATTCTTTATTTCTTATCTTACCCTTTTTATTTTCTAAAATATCCTTCCTATCAATATCTTGTTTTTTGTTTTTTTTTATTCTTTTCCTTTTTTTTCTTAGTCATTCTTTTTTTCTCCTTTTGTCATCTTTCCTTTTCTCATTATTCTCTTCTCTGATTCCTCTTGGATTCTCTTCCTGTTCTCTTGTTCAATGACATAATGATTTTTCCTATCTCATTTTCTTATCTTTCTAATTTCTTCCTTTTTCTTATATTTCTTTACTCATACTATCATTTTAATTTTTCTACCTTTTCATCCATGCAATATTTACATTCCTTATTGTAGCTGAGTAAATATTCAATATATTTAAAAGCTTTTTGAGATATAATTCACATACCATACAGTCTTCCCATTTAAAATGTACAATTCAGGCCCTGGCTGGTTTGGCCCGTGGACCAAAGAGTCTCAGGTTCAATTCTGGTCAAGGGCATGTACCTCAGTTGTGGTTCAGTCCCTGGTCCTGGTCAGGGTCCTGTGGGAGGCAACCAATCAATGTATCATTCTCACATTGATATTTCTCTCTCTCTCCCACTCTATCTGAAAAAGCAATGGAAAAAACATCCTTGCTTCCTTGGCCGGTTTGGCTCAGCGGTTAGAGTGTTGGCCCACAGACCAATGAATCTCGGGTTCGATTCTGGTCAAGGGCATGTACCTTGGTTGTGGTTTGGGGTCGTGCAGGAGGCAACCAGTCATTGAGTCCTCTCACATCCGTGTTTCTCTCTCCCTCTCTCCCCGTCCCTTCCACTCTACCTGAAGATAAAATGGAAATGTATCCTTGGGTGAGGATTAAGAAAATAAATAATTAATTTAAATAAATAAATAAAGCATATAATTCAGTGGCTTTAGTGTACCCACAGGGTTGTGCATCCATCACCAAGATCAATTTTAGAACATTTTCCTTTCTCCAGAAAGAAACTGTACCCTTTAGACATCACCTTCCAATCTCCATAAGTCTCCCAGCCCTAGGTATCCACTAATCTACTTTCTCTCTCTACAGATTTGCCTTTTCTGGACTTTACATATAAACGAAATTATACAGTATGTGGTCCTTTTTGATTGGCTTCCTTCACTTAGCAGGTTGATCACTATTGTAGCATTTATTAGCATTTCTTTTTATTGCAGAATAATATTCCATAGTATGGATGTACCACATTTTATTTACCCATTCATCAGTTAATGAATATTTGAGTTGTTTCTACTTTTTGGTTATATTCTGACTAATACTACTATGAACATTTATGTACAAATTTTTGCATGGATATGTGTTCATTTTTCTTGTACATATATACTGAGGACTGGAATTGCTCAATCATATGGCAACTTCATGTTTAACCATTTGAGAAACTGCCAGACTGTTTTCCAAAATGACTGCACCATTGTACATTTCCATTGGCAGTATATAAAGGTTCCAATTCCTCCACCTCCTTGCCAAGACGTTACTATCTGTCTATTTAATTGTAGCCATCTTAGTGGGTCTGAAGTAAGAACTCATGGTTTTATCTTGAATTTCCCTGCTGGTTATATTAAATATTTTTAAATTTCCATCATGCACAAAATAATTCTAAAAATATTTTCCAAGGCCATAGTATGTCACTGAAAAATTATAACTTTTTAATGCCCCACATGGGAAGATCAAGGACTATACATTAAGGAAATTCTTATTATTAATTTCCTTAGCCTTGTTTTTAAATCCCAAAGTAAGAAATAAAGCAGATTTAGACTAAGGCCTAAGAATAAAGTCTAACAATAAAGAACATCTCATTTTCTTTTTTTCTATCACTTTTATATTGTTCTCCCTTGTTTCTTCTTTATTACTTAGACAAGTAATACACACACATTTGGGGGAGGGAGATTAAGTTTGTGGTCCCCTAGATTCAACGTGGGAGTGGAAAATACTAGGAAGAAAAATACGGTGCCTGCCCTTGTGCCCCAAGAACAGCAACATGTATTTACTCATCAAAGTTTAGTGTATTTGTCCAGTTCAGCACTTCATCCACTTCCCATTCCATCACAGAATCTATTCCACCATCTTCAATAGATTGTATTAGCCCTTTTGTTGCAGTGTGAATTAAACCTAGAGTTTCCTGGTTTGTTGACTTGGCCTCCAGGTGTCCTCCATAGTACCTAAAGAGAGGAAAGGAAGAGAGACATAAATCCTTTGGCACAGGTGATTACTAGTAGGAGCAGTTAATATATATTGTTGTAGTACTATTTAAATACAAACCAAATTTTTACTCTAAAAATACCTCTAAACCAAGTTCTGTGTGATGGGATCTTTTGGAAAAAACAAAGCAACTTAATCACACTAACAAGAGAAGCCTCATTTCAAGATTACCTCTCAGTAAGTTGGATTTTTATGATACAAAGAAAAACTAAGGTATTATATCACTGAATCATAGAAGTATAGAATCAAAGGATCTTGGAGACTAAATAACTAGCCCACTTGTTTTGTTTGTTTTATTTATTTTTGTTAATCCTCGCCAGATTTATTTTTATTCCATTGATTTTTTTTTTTTTTTTTTTAGAGAGTAGAAGGGAGAAAGGGTGGGGAGAGACAAGAGAAACATCAATGTGAGAGAGAGAGAGGCATCAATTGGTTGCCTCCTGCACAACTCCAAGTGGGCCTGGGATTGAACCTGCAGCCCAGGTACATGCCCTTGACTGGGAATCAAATCTGAGACCCTGCCCTGGCCGGTTTGGCTCAGCGGGTAGAGCGTTGGCCTGCGGTACAGAGAGACCCGGGTTCGGTTCCTGCTAAGGGCACGTACCTCGGTTGCAGCTTGTCCCCGGCCCTGGTTGGTCGTGCGGGTGGCAGCCACTCGATGTGTCCCTTCACATCGATGTTTCTCTCTCTCTCTCTCTCTTCCTCTCTCTCCCTCCTGCTCTATCTGAACAAAAAATGGAAAAATGTCCTCGGGTCAGGATTAAAAAAAAACAAAAACCTGAGACCCTTTGGTGTGTGGGCCAATGCTCACCACTGAGCCATACTGGCCAGGGCAACTAACCCAATTGTCTTAGAGATAAGGAAATTCTAGAAGAGTTGAGTGACTTTTAGAAGGTCCTATGGATAATAACAAATAGGAAGAGGGAAGGGAAGAGAATGAGAGGAAAAGATAAAGAGAAGAGAGATATTGATAACTGTTTTATGTCAAGTACTTTTCTTTTACTTTTTTTTTTTTATCCTCATCCGAGGACATTTTTCCTTTTTGTTGTTGTTGTTGTTGTTGTTCAGATAGAGTGGGAGGGAGAGAGAGGAAGAGAGAGAGAGAGAGAAACATCGATGTGAAGGGACACATCGAGTGGCTGCCACCCGCACGACCAACCAGGGCCGGGGACAAACTGCAACCGAGGTACGTGCCCTTAGCGGGAACCGAACCCGGGTCTCTCTGGACCGTAGGCCGACGCTCCAACCGCTGAGCCAAACCGGCCAGGGCTCAAGTACTTTTCATATATCATTTTGTTTCATTCTCTTGAAAAAGACAGCTATTTTTATTCCCATTCTATGGGTGAGAAATTAAGAATTTGTTCAAGATCATGTATATAGTAAATGTATATCAGAGCCAGTGTTCAAATCTGACTTCAAGCCCAGACTTCTGTAGTACTTTTTTCTTTTATTAGCCTGAGCACATAAATTAATGCATCCAGCAAACATAAGCTGAGTAGACAGAAGTTGTCCTTATCAAGAATATTAGAATATAGCACTTTTTTATTGTTTTTCATTTTAAGATCTACATTGATATTTTATTTTAAAGGTTAACCTATCCTGACATTGTATTTATTTATTAATTTGATATTTATTAGGAAGTGGCACAGTGGTGGTGTAGAGCTAGGATCTGGTATTGAACCATCTGGCTTTGACTCTTCCTTCTGTGATTTACTAGCTATAGAAACTTTGCCAAACGATCTAGCCTTTCTGGGCCTCCATGTCCTCTTCCTTAAGATGGCAATCATTATACTACCTCCACCTAGCATTCTTGAGAGGTTTAGAAGTGTATATCCTGTAAAGCATTTACAACAATCACTGACACACAGTAAGCATTCAATAAAAGAAGGCTTACACAATCCTGGATGGCAAAAGATGTGACAGTGACAAAATATATCCCTGCCTTCAAGAAGTATCTGCTTTGTCAGACTTTAAATAGACAATGATTTATGAGAGCAAATGCATTTTACAGAAGCAGGAACATCTTCTTAATTTATATTGGTTAGTAAGAGCACAGATTGTAAGAAAGTATGATTTCACAATTTTTCTTCACTTAATGTTTATTGAGTGTCCTCTGTTTGCAAAGCAATCTGTACAGAGGTGAAATTCCCTCATGGAACTTGCAATCTTCCACTTCTATACTCTTTTCCCTAAGGCACTCAGTAGACATGTACTAAATGAAAAAATAAATGATCATACCCATTGGCCCAGATTGATTGACTAATGCTCATGCCACAACAAAAATACATTTAGAAATCAGAAACTTCTGGAAGGCTGGAGGTGAATGCATTTTTTATGTGTTCCTCCATGTTTTACCTTCTCAAATATATACAGACACTTAAGATTAGATTTGGAAATTGGGTGATACTCTTTTTTCCTTTTATTGATTGATTGATTTTTGAGAGAAGGAAAAACATCAATTGGCTTCCTCTCATGAGCTTTCTGACTGGAACTGAACCTGAAACACAGGTATGGGCCCTGACTGAGACCCTTTCATTCTATGGGATGACACTCCAACCAAATGAGCCACACCAGCCAGGGCTTCTTTTTCCTTTTAAATGGTGATATACAACAATTCAGATATCTATTTTTGTTCTCGGACTTTATTTTAAAGGGAGTTATAGCCCAGCCTGTGTGGCTTAGTGGATTGAGCATCATCCCATGCATCAACTGGTCACAAGTTCGATTACTGATTAAGGCACATGCCTGGGTTGTGAGCTCGACGCCCACTAGAGGGTGTGCATGTTCTCTCATGGATGTTTCTATCTCTCTCACCCTCCCCTACTCTCTCTAAAAAAAAATCAATACAAATATATGCTGATGCTCTAACCACTTAGCCACACTGGCCAGGGCTAGCTGTAGGTGTTTTATAGATGCCCTTTATCAGGTTGAGAAGGTTCTTTCTTTTAGTCCTAGTTTGCCAAGAGTTTTTATTATGAATGATTGTTGATTTTTGTAAGTACTTTTTCTGCTTCTATTGAGATTGATCTTATGTAAGTTTCTTTTTAAGTCTGTTAATGTGAATGGCATTGACTGATTTCCAGATGTTAAGCCAACTTTGTATTCCTGGGATAAACTCCATGTTATTTATTATCCTTTATCTACGTTCATGAGATATATTGTTTGTTATTTTCTTATATTTTTATTCTAAGCTTTGAGTGGTTTTATATCTGGTAATACCTTATAGAAATTTTAGGATGTGTTCCCTCCTTTTTCTGAAAATATTTGTGTACAATTTGTATTACGTCTTTCATAAATTTTTGCTAGAATTCACCAGCAAATCTATCTGGACTTGAGTTTTTGTGGGAATTTTTTAAAAGTACAAATTCAAATCCTTTAATAGATATAAGACTATTCATGTTATCTTTGTTGTTTTTGAATGAGCTATGGGTTATATCTTTCAATGAATTATTCTTTCACTTAATTTTTCAAGTTTGTGGGCATTAAGTTAATGATACATCTATATTGTTTTCATGTTTGTAGGGTCTATAGTAGTATCTGCTTTCATTTCTGAAATTTCTTATTTGCATGTGTTCTCTCTCTTTATACACATTTATTAACAGGTTTATAAATTGCATTGCTCTTTTCAAAGGAAACAAGTTTTGATTTCAGTGATTTTCTCTGATAGTTTTCTGTTTGTAATGTCATTGATTTCTGCTGAGCTTAGATCATTGATTTGAGATCTTTCTCCTTTCTAAATATATGTAATCCTATAGGTTTCTCTGTAAGTACTGCTTTAGCTGCATCCTCCAGTTTTGATATGTTGTATTTTCATTTTCATTAAGTCAAAAATATTTTCAAATTTCCCTTGTGACTTCTTTGACTCATGGATTATTTAGAAGTATGCTATTTAATATCCAAAGATTTGGAGTTTTCCAAAAATTGTTTTTGTTATTAATTCTATCTTTTTTTAAAATTTCTTTTTAATTCCATGGTGATCGAGAACTACCTTTCTCTGATTTTAATGTTTTACACTAGTGGATGTTTTTTTATGGCCCAGAATACAGTTTATCTTCATGAATGTTTCACGTTCACTTGAAAACAATATAGTTTATGTTGTTGGGTGCAGTGCTCTATAAATGGCAATTACAAAAAAAAATGTCAAGTCAGTTGATAGTGTTGCTCAAGTCTTCTATATCTTTACTAATTTATCATCCACTTATATCAATTACTAAGAAAACTGTTTTGAAATCTCTATTATAATTTTGGATATATCTATTTCTCCTGTCAATACTATTGGTTTTGTTTCATGTATTTTAGAGCTCTTTTATTATGGAAACAAGTGTTTAGGATTATATCCTCTTGATGAATTTACACCTTTATTACTTTAAATGACACTTTTTATCTCTGGAAATGTACTTTGCTTTGAAATCTACTTTGTTAGACATTAATATAGTCACTCCAGCTTTCTTTTGATTACTGTTAGACCCTTTTCCATGCTTTTACTTTTAATCTATTTCTAGTTAACATTTAAAGTTAATTCTTGTATATAACATATAGACCATTTACATTTAATATGATTAGTGATATATGGTTCATTTTAATCTACGTCATGCTATTTGTTTTCTATTTGTCCTGTCTGTTCTTAATTTCCTTTTCTCTTTTTTCAGCCTTGTCTTGGATTAATTGATTGTTTTTTTATTATTTTATTGTATCTCCATTATTGGCTTATTAGACTTACATCTTTGTTATTGTTGATTTTATGGTTGCTTCAGGGTTTGTAGTATACATGTTTAATTACCATGGTCTACCTTTAAGCAACATTATATCACTTCATATGTAGTATAAGGAACTTCTAACAGTGTATTTCCATTTCACCTCTCAACCTTTGTGGTATTGTAATCATACATTTTATTCTGCTCTACTATAAATTAATAAATACCATAACACATTGTCATTGTTTCTGCTTTAACTAGCAAATTACCTTAAAATTTTTTTACTTTATTTAGTAATTGTGTAATATGCTTATATTATAGTTTTGTAATTATTTTTGGTATTCTTCATTCTTGTAAGGATTCAGATTTCAACCTAGAGTCATCTTCTGCCTGAACTTTAACATTTTTTTGTGCTGATCTGTGTGATGAGAGAATAGAGCTTTTGTTTGTCTGAAAAGTTTTTCTTTCATTTTCATTTTTAAAATATTTTTTTGGCGGGTCTGCTGCTATTGATCAATTTCTCTCCTCACATGGGATCTATTTTCCTGCCTCTTTGCATGCCTGGTATTTGATTACTATATAGTAGACATTGTGAATTTCATATGATTTTAGGTACTGGAGGTTTTTGTATTCTTTTAAATATTTGGGGGCTTTGTTCTGGTATGCAGTCAAGTAAACTTGGAAACAATTTGATTTTTTGACACTTGCTTTTAACATTTGTTAGATACCAGAATGACTTTTAGTACAATCTGTACAGTCTCATAAGGCAGAGAGAAGTGTTGAGTGGGCCAAATGAAAGTTATTGATATATAAGAGTAAATGCTCCTTTTCATATCTGATGTTTCAATAGAATGTGACTTCCTTGAGGACCAAGATAGCATGTCTTTTTTAAATTACTTCCTGAAGCTCAACTATGTCTGGCACATAGTAGGCATTTTTTAAATGTTTTTTATGTATTTTTAAAAATATAACTGTAACTTTACATTTTCTTTTTAAAATAACAATTATTTTAGTAGTAATAGAAACAATTTAAAATCTTAAAATACTATATACTTCTTTAGTAAGTCTTTCAACTTACATTTGCCTCATCCATTCTATTTTTCTAATTTTTCTTTTCTTTTCCATATCTTGCCTTCTCTTCAGTTTAGAGAAATGAAATTTGCTTTCCTTTTTGTCTCCCACCACTGCATCTTCAGGTGACATCCAAAACTATTGAGAAATAAAAAATGAATACACTAAATGTTGAAATACTAATTGTGAGGTTATCTGACTACAGACAAGAACTTTTTTGTGCTCAATTGGAATATGCTGAGATAGAAATAGAGGATTAGATAGACCCTTTTAAGGTATTTCTAATTCAGTGACAGGTGAATAGCACACTGAGCCTTCCGAGGCACATGCACAGAAAGACTGACAAAGTACTAGTATACTGAGATACTTAAGTATGTGTTGAATGAATAAATGAATAGAGATATTCTAAGAGTATTAAGTTTCTCGTAAGAACACACCTGACCTACTCTTAGTGCTGGTGGCTTCTGAAGACTCTGATCCCTAAGGAGTAGGGGCACCCTCCAAGAACACAGAAGTCTCACCATTGGGTCCTAAGTGTTTGTGGTTTCCCCTGTACAACACTTTATCCTAACTGGTTGTCTATTTTCCTACTTCTGATTCATCCCCCCCGCCACACACACACACATTAATGAGGAGAGTTTGCTATTCCCCACAACATTCTGTATTTGCCACTATTAAACCACATATTTACTACATTATATTGAAATATCATGTGTACTAAATGTCTCCCTAATGAAAAGGCAAACTACTTGAGGAGAGCAACTATTCTCATTTACTATTGTATCTCTAGTATTTGGTACAATGCCAGACACATGCTTAGTATGCAATAAAATTTGTTGAATGAATGAATGACCACATACCTTGATCCTTTTCACTTTTCATACTTAGTATATTCAACATAACACATTCTATAATCTGTCTTCCAGAGATTGAGGATTTGATTAAGATACTTGAGGCAATATAAACAGACATCTGGAGCATGTTAACCTATAAAACGTAAGCTTACAAATATCCTTAGGTAGAAATTCTTTCCACAAAAGGGAGATTAAACATAAGTGTCTATAAAAAAGTTCCTGAATCATATATATGCATGAGGAACTATGTATATTTAAAATCATTCTGTTCAATTAATATAAATACATGTTAAATCTCCCAACACCATGAAATTTCTAATGATTTTCCACTAGTCTCTGCTATTACAAGCTCTGTAAGAGAAAATGTTACATTGTTCTCAAGAATTCCCACCTCCAATCTAAGGATTAATATAGAGTCAACAAATTCTTCAAATATGCTTTGATGGCAAACTGCTGAATACAAGGGAGTATCTAAAAATGGCTTCAATCAAAGCTAATTACTAAAAGTACAAATAAATGTAAGGAAGAAAGAGATATATTCCCATATCTTGAAATATTAGTAACCTTAGAGGAGTTAACTTAAAGCAATTTCTATCAGCTAAATGACTAGGATTTACTACATAAAAATATAATTTTAAAATTAAATTTTGAAAAGATAAATTGGTTTATAAATATATAAGATTCAAAATTAATATTTCTTTTTTCTTACTGTATCAGAAACAGGCCTCCAGCCATTGTTCTCTGTACGATGATACCAGCCACTCTGATCTCCTTCCTGAAGATTATCACTTTTAATATGAGATTTATATTTTGCTGAAAGTTTTGTGTAATCTCTAGGGCTATTAGCACATAGATCTTCAATATGTCTCTCAGTAAAAATTTTATAGTATATGTTAGGTGGAAATTTATCCTGTAGATGGAAAAGTTCAAAGGACCATTGTAATTTAATAACAAAATAGTTTACTTAAAAAATTTACATTTTTAAATTTTTTAAATGAATTTTATTTATTTATTTTTGTTACAGATGTTTCTCTTTTTCCCCCCATTAACACCCTCCTCCCCATCCCTCCCCGCCCCATTCCCAGCTTTGTTTTCCATGTCCATTGGTTATGCATACATGCATATAAGATCTGTGGTTTATCTCCCACCCACCCACCCCCTCTTTTGAGGATTGTCAGTCTGTACCCTACTTCCACATCTCTGGGCCTACCCTGTTTCTCAGACTGTTATGTTCATTATATTCCAGAAATAAGTGAAATCAGTGATATTTGTCTTTCTCTGTTTTGCTTGTTTTGCTTAGGATAATGCTTTCCAGGTCCCTCCATGTTGTCTCAAAGGATAAGAGATCTTTCTTACAGCTGCATAGTACTCCATTGTGTATATGTACCACAGCTTTTTTATCTATCCAACTACTGATAGACACTTGGGCTGTTTCCAGATCTTAGCTACTGTAAATAGTGCTGCTATGAACATGGGGGTACATATATTCTTTCTGATTGGTGTTTCTAGAAGTGGGATCACTGGATCAAATGGCAATTCAATTTTTAATTTTTTTGAGATAACACCATAGTGTTTTCCATAGTGGCTGCACCAGTCTGCATTCCCACCAGCAGTGTACTAGAGTCTCCTTTTCTCCACACCCTCACCAACACTTGTTTGATGCTTTGTTGATGGTGGCCATTCTGACAGGTTTGAGGTGATACCTCATAGTTGTTTTAATTTGCATCTCTCTAATGATTAGTGATATTGAGCATTTCTTCATATGTCTCTTGGCCATTTGTATGTCCTGTTTGGAGAGGTGTGTATTTTGCTCTTCTGCCCATTTTTTAATTGGGTTTTTTGTCTTCCTTTGTTGAATTGTATGAGCACTCTAACCTAGCATTTTAGTCTAAGCTATTCCATGTACACAGCTGACATTAATTACAAAGTACAACTTAACAAATGCTAGGGGAAAATTGTTTTTAAGTAGCTTTTTACAGGTATTGAACTTATCTTGCACACTTAGGTCATACATACAGGGCAAAGTCAGAGCTTTTATATTTGAGTTTATTCTTCATTTAACTTTCAAAACACTATTATAGTTGAATATTAAAACAAAAATAATAGCAAGTAGTGAGCATACTATGATTACAGTCCTTCACTTGTTCCCTACTGTATGTAAAATGCCAACAGTGAGTGTTATTCACTGGCCCCATTAAGAGGTCTGACACGGAACACCACCCCTAGAATGATCTTCATCATCCTCATATGCTTCTCCATTGCAATGGTGCTGTCTTTCTTTTTATTTTTTTTTTAATCCTCATCTGAGGACACTTTTGCATTTATCTTCAGATAGAGCGGGAGAGAGGGAGGGGGGAAGAGAGAGAGAGAAACATCACCATGAGAGAGACACATCGACAGGCCGCCACCCACATGACCCCCACCGGGGTCGGGGACAAACTGCAACCGAGCAGGAACCGAACCTGGGACTCTCTGGTCCAAAGGCCGATGCTCCAGCTGCTGAGCCAAACCTGCCAGGGCAACGCCGTCTTTCTTGATTCGGATCAAAGTCCACCAGTTCTATCTGGTCTATTTCATCAGTCTCTTCTACTTCCTTCCTTTCAGGTAGGAGTTTTTCCAGCAAAGAGAGTTTATCAGGAGAGAGAAAGCCATTCTCAGGAAAGTTTACCTTAAATTCGATGGTTAGGCAACCCTTTTCATATGGTCTATGATAAACTGGCATGCCTTCATTTAGCACACACTTGATATCTTCATGCTTGACAATTGACCTGGATGAGAGGTGATGACTATTGTCCTATTGTCAAGAGTAGCTATTGGCTTTTGGAAGCCACACAATGCTTCAACCAGCTGTATGTTCATTCTCACAAAAAAGCCTTCTCCTCAAGTGAAAACAATATGGTCCTTCTGATCTAAAACAATGATAGTATCTCCTGGTTCCAGTCCTAGTTCTTGATCTCCTTCACCATGGAATGTTATCGTCTGGTCATCTTTCATGCGTTTATCAATATGAGTTTCTAGAATCTTCTTCTCTTGAACTATCTTCCTTCCATTGTAGCTTTTTTTTTTTTTTTTTTTTTTTTTTTTTAATCCTCACCCGAGGACATTTTCCCACTTTTTGCACAGATAGAGTGGGAGGGAGAGAGAGGAAGAGAGAGAGAGAGGGAAACATCGATGTGAAAGGGACACATCGAGTGGCTGCCACCCGCACGACCAACCAGGGCCGGGGACAAACTGCAACCGAGGTACATGCCCTTAGCGGGAACCGAACCCGGGTCTCTCCGGACCGCAGGCGGATGCTCTAACCGCTGAGCCAAACCGGCCAGGGCCCATTGTAGCTTTTACATCTATCTTTAGGACTGATCCCTTCCCTATGGCCCTGGCACTCTGTGCACACAGACTGAATATGCTGAACCATTTCTGACCCTATCTGATGAATTCTTATTTGCATTCCAGTACCTGGGCAACTGGAACAGCACTCTACTGCTCCTTTCTTACCACTTCAGCCTTCACATTTGTCACAAATCACATTCTTTTGCAGAGCTAGTTTTCTTGTTGCACCATTATATAAATCTAAGTTTACTGAGAGCTGATGCACGACATTTTTACCTCTTCTTTCTCTCTGCATCCTTCCTCCTTCTCCAAAAAACATATCAAAGATGTCCATGAGGAAGCCAAAACCACCACCTGGTCCACCTTCTTTAATTGCTTGCTCTTGTCCTTTGTCACATAATTCCCTTTTCTTTGCATCAGAGAGCACTTTGTAAGCTTCAGAAATCTGTTTAAACTTCTCTCCTTCATTTGGATTCTTATCAGGGTGGTACTTCAAGGCCAACCTCCTGTAAGCCTTTTCAATTCTTCCTGGGTGGCATTGGGTTTGACCCCCAAAACATCATAGTGAGTGGTTTCTTTCACCAGTTTTGACAGCCAAGGAGCTCGCCAAGACAGGTGTGGAGGAGCTGCAAAGGTCACGATACTGCGCACAGCTCAGAAAGCCGCCTCTCCTCCACCTCTTACTGAGTGTTCTGGAAAGTTCCCAAAAATTTACATCTTTTAAATTTCATATAAATGTGCTATAAATGAACTACAAGAATTCATCTGTACTTACACCACCTAATCTGAACCGAACATGAATGCCAGCAGCAGCATCTAGAAGCTCTGCCTATAAAAAAAATACCACTTTTCAACATTCTGTATATACCAATTCACTACTTCTCACTCTATCATGTTAAAATAATTGCTGAATATTAATTTATGAAATAAATCAAGTGACTAAACTTAAAATAATTTTTAAAGTAGAAAATATGTTAAGATTTAATTTCTTATAGGCATCTTATAAGTAAAACAGTTTACATGATAACTGGAAAAATAATATAAAAGCGTTTAATTTCTATCCAATATATAAATATAAAAGTCAAGTGATTTGTTATTCATAAAACAGAAGTTTTAAATAAGTCCTCAAATATATGATTTACATATTAAATATTGCTTTACAAGTAAATTCAGAGAAAAATTTATGATTGGTGTGAGTTTAACACCAGATGACCTTTCCTAACTAGCTTTTATTAAATAAGAAATTCATTTTTAAATTTCTTAAGAATTGTATATAACCAGTCTTCTAAATTTTAGTGCCCTGGACCAAATGAAAAATAGAGAAAAAAATATTTGGTCCTCTATTAGAGACCAAACATTTCAACTCTGTCTCCTAATAATATTAAATTAGATGTGAAAATAGATGTTATCCTAAATTGTTTAGTCCATAAAGCCTTAAAAAACATTAGTTTTACATAATTTTCTCCTGAGTAAAAATTATATATACATATGTACATATATAGGATTATAATTCAAATATGAAAAAAAGATGTTTTATAACAGTATCTCAAAGTATATATTCATAAAATTCATAAAGTATATACTTTTATGTATGAATATAAATATCTTTTATCCACTAAAGTAGGCAAATCTTAAATGTATATATAGCTCCATGAATTTTTACCCTTCTTTTAATCAGTTAAGGAGAGAAGCTAATCACATTAATCCAGTCAGAGATTTAGTCTGAATGCAGTTTTAGTAATCCATGTCTAGTTTGTTCACTTCTAATTGTTCCCTATTTCTCAGATATCCTGACAGGTCCTATCTCCTCAACAATGAAAGACTATGGGAAACTCAGTTACACTCTTTGGAAGATCTGAGCTTAATTTTTTATCCTTCTACCATCTATAGACTCAAATAGGGGTGGGGGTTGGCTCTGTATTTGAGGTAGTTCCCTTCTCTCTAGTATGATTTTGTCTCTTAAGTTGATGAGAGATTTCATTTAGTGTAACAGCATTATTTAAACTGGAGTTAGATTAGTTGTAAATTGGTTCACTACAAACTCTAACACAAGCAAAAGAAGAGTTAAATACAAGTATAATTTATATACTAAGAGAGGAGAGAAAATATAATCATAAAATGCTCAATTAAAACCAGAGAGAGAAGGAAGGATGCAGTGAAGGAAGGGAGGGGAGAAGGAAGGAAGGGAGGAAAAGAGAGAGAGAGAGAGAGAGAGAGAGAGAGAGAGAGAGAGAACGAATGAGAACAAGGACAACAAATACCCTTACCAGTGGTACTCAACTTTCCTAATGCCGTGACCCTTTAATACAGTTCCTCATGTTGTGGTGATCCCCAACCATAAAATTATTTTTGTTGCTACTTCATAACTGTAATTTTGCTACTGTTGTGTCTTAGGTGACCCCTGTGAAAGGGCTGTTTGACCCCAAAAGGGATTGCCACCCACAGGTTGAGAATCGCTGCCTTAGGAAATACTGTTAGGAAATGGTAACTAAAATGGTAAATCAAACTACATCAATAATCACTTTAAATGTAAATGATCTAAATATACCAATTAAATGGAAGATTGTCAGAGTGGATAAAAAATAAGACCCAACTTTATGTTGTCTACAAAAACCCACTTTAAATATAAAAACAGTGTTTGAAAAGCAAAGGAATGGAGAAAGATTATACCACTTTAATACTAATCAAATGAAAGTTGAGCAGCTATATTAATTTCAGACAAAGCTGAATTCAGAGCAAGAAAAATGATCAGAAATAAAGAAGAGCATTACATGATGATAAAGGGGTCAGTTTTCTAAAAAGGCATAATGATCCCTAATTTATATATGCCTAACAACAGAACATCAAAATATGTAAGGCAAATACTAATAGAACTGCAAGGACAACTGGGGGAATCACTATTATATTTGGAGACTTTAACTCCCCTCCATCAGTAATTGAAAGATTCAGCAGACAGAAAAGCAATAAGGCCATAATTAAACCAAACAACACTATCAATAACTGGATCTGGTTGACATTTATTGAACACTTCATCTAACAATAGCAGAATATACGTTCTTCTCAAGCTCTCATGGAACATTTACCAAGATAAAACACTTTCTGGTCAATAAAACATGCCTTAACAAATACAAAAGAATAAAAAGTATACATAGTATGCTCTCAGGCCCCAATGGAATTAAACTAGAAATCAGAAGCAGAAGGACAGATAGAAAGCCCCAAACTTGGAAATTAAACAACACACTTCTAAATAACAAATGGGTCAAATAAAAAGTCTCAAGATTTTAAATTTTAAAAATTTTTAACTAAATGAGATGAAAATAAAGCTTACCAAAATTTGTGAGATGCAGTAATAATAGTGCTTAGAGAATAATTTAGAGCATTGAATGCATATATTAGAAAACAACAGGAACCGAAAAATGGCGGCGGAGTGAACGGAGCTACACAGACCGTCTCCCAGAACCAAACTGGAATTACAACTATAACACAGACAAATCGACGGGAAAAACCAACAGAAAAGAAGCTTGCGAGGACCATACAACGAGGGACACTGACTCCATCCCGGTAGGCTTGCGAAGGCGCGAGACGGGGCTGGGAGCCCACAGTCGGCAGCTCGGCAGCGGTCTCAGCTGGGATCAGCGCCCTCGGGTTACACTCCCAGGCGGCTCCACAGCGCAGAGCCGGGACAGAGGCTGAAACAGCCACAGCCACTCACCTTGGGCTCCGGCGGAGGGAGGGCGGACTGGACTGGAACTGTGTCGGGACACTCGGGGTTTGGAGGGCTCTCGGAGCTTTGGCTGAGTGCAGCCACTCAGGACGGTGGCCACATTGCTTCTTCCCAGGGCTCTGGGGAGAGGCAGCAGCCCCTCCCTCGGAGATCCAACCCCACCCTGTGGGCCATTGAAGTGTTAATTGAGGCTCACTAAGGACCAGCATCTGCCCCACCCTCGTGAAAGCCCCTTGGCTGAGCACCAGAGGGAGTTTTTCAATCAACTGACAACCCAAAACTCATCAATTAACCTAGACTGCTAGCTTCCAGGCAAAAAGCTAGAGGATAACAGTACGTTTCCTGGGCTGGCAGCTTTAACCAGGAAAGTAAGACTTGACAGTGGTGTTCAACGCGGGTCCTCCCTCGCTCATCTAAACACAGGAGAGGGAGCCACAAACAGCAGAACACCAACACCCACAGGGAGAACTTGACAGGCTCCAAAGCCCAGAGTGATAGCTAAAATGGTGAAACACAGAAACAGAAGCCAAATGAAAGAGCAAACCACCTCCACCGAAGATGAGATCAATGTGGAGCAATTAGGCATGTTAACAGAGCTAGAATTCAGAGCCATGATCTTGAGGAAGCTGAACAGCATGAGTAAGGACATAGAGACACTGAAAATAAGCCAAATGGAAATTAAAAACCAACAAGAAGACATAAAAAATGACATATCCGAAATGAAAAACACATTGGAAGGTTTAAAAAGCAGAGTAGGGGAAGCTGAGGACCGGATCAGTGAATTAGAAGACAGGGTAGAAAAAATCAACCAATCAGAAAAACAAAAGGAAAAAACTATTAAAAAACAGGAAGACAGCTTAAGAGAACTATGGGACAACTGGAAACGTAATAATATTCGCATCATAGGAGTCCCCGAAGAAGAAGAAAAGGAGCAAGGGATAGAGAATATATTCAAAAAAATAGTGAGAGAAAACTTCCCTAATTTGGTGAAGGAAGAAGGCATTCAAGTTCAAGAAGCACAGAGAGTCCCAAGTAAGAAGAACCCAAACAGGCCCACACCAAGACACATAGTAATTAAAATGCCACAAATTAAAGACAAAGAGAGAATCCTAAAAGCAGCAAGAGATAAGCAACAGGTTACCTACAAAGGGAACCCCATAAGGCTCTCAGCTGACTTCTCACAAGAAACACTACAGGCCAGAAGGGAATGACATGAAGTAATCAAAGTCATGAAAAACAAGAATCTGAATCCAAGACTACTCTACCCAGCAAGGCTATCATTCAAAATAGAAGATCAAATAAAGAGCTTCCCAGACAAAAAAAAGCTAAGGGAATACATTAGCACCAAACCAGCACTGCAAGAAATGTTAAAAGGACTGCTGTAATTAGCAGTAGAAATGGGAACAAAAATAGAACCACACTAAACAAAAATGGCAATAAATAAGTACATATCAATAATCACCTTAAACATAAATGGATTGAATGCTCCCATAAAGAGACACAGAGTAGCTGATTGGATAAGAAAGCATGACTCATCTATATGTTGTTTACAAGAGACCCATCTCTCAACAAAAGACTCACATAGGTTGAAAGTGAAGGGATGGAAAAAAATTTTCCAAGCAAATGGAAAGCAAAAAAAAGCTGGGGTAGCAATTCTCATATCTGATAAAATAGATTTCAAAATGAAGACCATAACTAGAGACAAAGACGGCCACTACATAATATTGAAAGGATCTATCCAACAGGAAGATATAACCTTGATAAACATATATGCACCCAATATAGGAGCACCAAAATATATTAAAAATCTTCTGGAGGACTTCCAAGGAGAAATCGACAACAATACAATCATAGCTGGGGACTTCAACACCCCGTTGACAGCACTGGATAGATCCTCTAGGCAAAAAATTAGCAAGGAAACAGAGACTCTAAATGAAGCACTAGACCAAATGGATTTAATAGATATCTACAGAGAATTACACCCCAAAACTACAGAATACACATTCTTCTCAAGTGCACATGGGACATTCTCAAAGATAGACCACATGATAGGACACAAACTAAATCTCTACAAGTTCAAGAAGATTGAAATCATATCAAGCATC